TAATAAATTTGTTAGTCTCTAAGGTGCCACAAGTACTCCTGTTCTTTCTGCCTGTATAGTGGCTTCTTGCACAACATGCTGATAACTCACAAACAGAATGCTACAAGGTCACAGTTCAATATTACCAACATCAAGCTTTTGGGGGCATGAATCAAGCCCCCAAAACCAAGAGATTGGCTTACATCATGAGATTAAAAAAAAATTAACTATGTTCTTTTCATTTGTCTTCTGGTTTCTGAATACTACGGTTCACATTTTCAGGCTTTTCTCTGCAACCACAAGGACTAAAATTTGCTTTATTCTGAAATGGAAGCTGATATTCTCACACAATCACATGGATCTGGGAGCTGGGTCTTTAAAAAAATGTAAGGACTAGCAATAAAAATAATTATAAAAATAAAATTGCAGAGTTGGCAAGACTGAGTCATGAGACAATTCAGCCCAAACCTGGGTCATTTATGAAAAAGTGATGAGCATACAGAAGGCAGATTTTTAAACAAAACTAAGCAGCACCAAAATGTCACCAGTCTGTATGGCCACAAAAGGGAAAATCCTTGACACCCCAACCAATAGCCATAATAGCTTTGTTGAAGAGAGAATGCCAAATTTCAGTACCGCCTCCAGAGATATCCTAACCATCACTGCCATGAGAGAATCACAGCCACAAACACAGATATGGTCAGAACGCAGGGAAGGTACAGAGTACAAGGATCTTCCTTTCCTTTCCCTCCCACCTCCCTCACTCTGTAACGCCAAATGCGGCTGGCCACCGAGATATAGTCTCTTGTACTCTGCTGAGCAAATGGACAAATCTCTTATAGTATTCAAAACAACTGCCTCTAGAAATATGCTATGCACCACAGCACCACGAGATCCCACAGCACCACAAACCAAGTAGAATCAATCCTGTTTTCATGTCATCGTCCTGAGAGAGCTGTACACTATATACTGTGCCCAAAAGAAATCAGCTATGTGCATCCATTTTCCCAAGGGAAATAGCCTCAAAACTGATGCTCCAACCCACACAAAGGAAGGAGTATAAATATACACACCAGTTTGCTTAGAAATGTAAGCCAACTACATACCAATGGTCACACCACAGAGAAATAAACTCTGCCCTCAGACTGTCTCAGAGATATTCCACAAAAAGTGTTTCTCAAACACAAAACCTCTCACCCAAATCCAATGCTCCTGTGAGATCCATCACATCCATCAGCCACAGTGCCACAGCGCGTGACGGCCGTCCTGGCACCAACACACCACGACCCTACTCACAGAGAGATGCCTAGGGCTGTAATTGTAAGAACGGAATAGGAGACGAGGATGGAAGCAGAGGGTACCTTGCTCTTCACTCTGGACCTGCTAGCCCCCGAAGTTTGCCTTTTGTCTTTCTGTTCAGTCAGTTTTCTTCCTAGGGAGGAGCCCATGTCCCTCACTCTGCCCCTCTCCTTTCTCACTCCGGTCTCTCAGTCCCTGTTTCAGGCCAGAGCAGGCTCCAAACTGGGATGTGGAGCTTGCAAACACATGCATTCCACAATCTCATTCTCTCCAAGTAAAGCAGCAGCACTCTGTGCCAAGGGTACAAGTTACACCAGCGCTGGCTTTCAGGACCGTGTTCTCTTCAAATGAGCAGCAGGCGTGCGTGTCACACACACACTTTTGTCTTGCTGTGTGACAGCCTCCCCCTCTCTCTTTGCCACTCTATTTCTCTGTCCCTCACAGGGAACAGTCTCTCCGGTTGGCTGCTGGATATGGGCTTCTATTTTGCTGCCTGATCCTCACGACCTCGGAGCGACACATCAGTGGATGCAACACACATACACAGGAAAAAGCTAACTAAATTAAATGCACAAGTCAGCATCTTCCCCACAGAAATCAGGTGGGACTGGAGGCTCAGCTTCTCATTGCACTGCCCTGTCTGCATACTAAGGGACAGATTCAATACAGTTTGGGGAACAAAAGAAGACCCAACACAAAGGGATTATTTTTAATAGAGCTTTGTCTGCAAAGTGCCTATATACTTCCCCACACATCTTTGGGGGCAGCACATTGCACACAAGCTCAGATGTCCCCCCACCATACACTAGTCCTTAGCCCCCGCCTTTCTGAAAACATGGCCCTCAAGCTGCATAGTCCACTAGTGCCATGCAATAGTGACTTGAACTCCTTGCCACTAGGAGAGTGCGGGACACTCGTGTCCATTGCACAGAGGTTCTTGTGTCAAACATCATGCTACTCACTGCACAAAATCTCTCCCTTGTGTCACTCCACAGACACAGTTAGTCCCATGTTGCAGCAATCCTGCGAAGGCTAACGGAAGGGCCTGTAATTCCCTCTTCCCAGGATAGAGGGTCCCATCTGGAAGGACAAGCCTTTTGGGGAGATTGTTTTCTCTCTTTCTGCTTAGGATCTGCTCAGAGTTCCTCTCATTCAGCTGCTGCTGTTTTATAGACCAATTGACCCTTTTCTGCCCCTCTGCCCAGCAGCATAAGTCAGCAGCATCAAAGATCCCAACATCCCAGCACTGCCCCAAGGAATTGTGCCAGGAGTTGAACTCAGGAAGCCTAAAGCTGAAGGTCAAACAGACTCCAGCACTGCCATGAGCACTGAGGAAGAAACAGGGACAAATGGCATGTGTCTGAAGGAAACTCCACACTGCACTAATAATACACTTTCCATTTCACTCTGCAAGAGTGACTGGCAGCTGAAGAGACAGTGCCTGGAGACGGCTCAAGGCAGCCCCAGTTTGAGTAGGTCAGAGTCTATGCCTGAGGGTAGATACGAGGGGTCCCCATCCAAGCAGGTCAGAGTCAAATGATGGCATGTGGGGAAGAACACCCATCATGAGCTTCTCCATAAAGCCACTACTCTCTCCTCCTTAAGTCCCTCTTCTCCTGTGACTCTTATAAGAAATCAGCCCTTATTGATGGCCAGACTGCAGGGAGTCAGGAGTAGCTCACACTATTTGTTTATTTATATTTTTTAATACTTTCAAATGTGTTGGAACCATCAAGCAAGCTATGTACACAGCTAACCTTTGGAGCTGTGGGACAGGAAGTCTCGTCCTCATTCCTCTTTTATCATCCATTGTTTCTCATACTTGCTGATTGCATCTTGCTTTCAATTAAACCCTAAGCTCTTCAAAACAGGAAATCCTGTCTTTCTAAGTCCTTGTGCAGCATCCAGCACAACTGGGCCCGATCCTGATTGGCCCTCTATGGACTACCACTATACAAATCAACAACAATTAAGGATACCTTGGCCTGGGGGGGAGGATCAGGCTTGGGGGAAAGAAGGGGTGTCTATACCTGTCAGTAATATTTGAATCCCCCAGCTCTGGTGGGTGAGAGTCCCTGCTTGCTGGTGACAAGAGGGGTATCCCAGCCCAGGGAGTGAGGGCCTGATCCTGGGGAAATCCTGAAGAAGCCCTAGTCTTCTCTACTATCGTACCTTGAGTTTCTTATAGTGGAAAGCAAGTCACAGAATCATGCCCCAGCTTCCTGGGAATAGGAAGAGCACCATGTCACTGCATTCAGATAAGACATGGCCAGTGCTGGGTCACTCTCCAGCACCATTTTTGTACCACTACCACATGGCAGACAGACTGGCCATAGCTGAAAGGGCATGACTGTGCTACCATCTCCTGATCCCCAGCTGCTCAGTCTGAATTGTGAAGAACTATGGAGAAAAGGATATGCGAGTTTCAGCTAGGTTCCTAAAAAAAAAAGTTCTTCCCAGTGTAATGTCTGAACTCACTCTCTCTCACACACACACCACCCATCTGCAGTGTACTTGGGAAGTGGAGGACTTGGAAAGTACATTCCCTTCCAGGAAACAGCCACAAAAAATTATTTTGCTCTTTTTACTAAAGTGGTCTTCACTCTGAACTTAGTTCAAGCCAGATGACTAGTCCCCAAAGGCTAGGTCTACACTACCCGCCTGAATCGGCGGGTAGAAATCGACCTCTTGGGGACTGAATTATCGCGTCTCGTCGGGACGCGACAATTGATCCCCGAATCGACGCTCTTACTCCACCAGCGGAGGTGGGAGTAAGCGCCGTCAACGGGAAGCCGCGGAGGTCGATTTTGCCACCGTCCTTACAGCGGGGTAAGTCGGCTGCGATACGTCGAATTCAGCTACGCTATTCGCGTAGCTGAATTTGCGTATCTTAAATCGACCCCCCCCCCCCGTAGTGAAGACCTGCCCAAAGAAATCCGACGCTCCTGTCCAGATACACACATGGGTTAAAGCCTGTGGACAAGGCAGTGCAATACTGTTTCTGTATGTGAGGAAGAGAAGCCCTGCAGTGTCTGTCAGGGGAGAGGAAGGATGCTTGTCAATGTATGGCATTGTGCTGTACTGGTATTCAGTGACTCATCAATATCTGCGAATAAAGCAGCTCTTCAGCTGGCCCATCATGTGTTTCTCCCAGCCTCACCATCCCAGAGAGGCTTAGCCCTGACCTCTCCCTCAGAACTCAATCCAGCTGCACAACTGATTGCTGAGAGTATGGAACCAGTTCAATGTCACCACGGTGGGCTTCCAGCCACAGTTCCATGGGGGGGCCTTCAGCTCAGATCACTAAGTAACACAACCCAGCCCTTGGCAATCAACACACATTTTTAGGGGGGAATTTGAGATCTGGCAAAGGGGGAAGTCTGGAATGTACACAGATCTCTTTTTCTCTGACACTCTCTTTCCCAGCGAGATTCTCTCTGACAGACTATGACTTATCTGGATAGGCTGTCAATACAGATTATGCTATACAGACTTCGAGCTCCCTGAGGCTAAATGCCAGTCTTACCTTTGTGTGGAGCTTGGCAAACTGCTTGTCATCCAGCAGACTCTGGGTGTACACACGCCTCTTGTACCGAAACTGGAGAGGAGAAGGGAAGGGAAGGTGGTTAGACACAAAAGCTGAACAAAAGCCAAAGGCAATACAGGGGAATGTGGTCTTGATGCAATTACTATACAGTGGGGGCAAAACTGGCTTAAAGACTGTACTCAAAGAGTAGTTATGAATGGTTTGCTGTCAAAGTGGGGGAACACATCTAGTGGGGTCCCACATGGGTCAATCCTGGGCCCAGTGCTAGTCAATATTTTCATTAATGATTTGAATAATGGAGTGGAGAATATGCTTATAAAATTTGTGAGGACACCAACCTGGGCGGGGTTGCAAGCACTTTGGAGGACAGGATTAGAATTCAAAATGACCTTGACAAATTGGAGAACTGGTCTGAAATCAACAAGATGAAATTCAATAAAGACAAGTGCAAAGTACTTCACGTAGGAAGGAAAAAATCAAATGCACAAATACAAAATGGGGAAGGACTGCCTAGGCGGCAGTACTGTTGAAAAGGGTCTGGGGGTTAAAATGGATCACAAACTGAATAGGAGCCAACGTTGTAATGCAGTTGCAAAAAAGGCTAATATTCTTGTGCATATTAACAGGAGCCTTGTATGTAAAGCTATGTCTACACAACAAGTTAGGGGTGTAATTCCCCTGCTCTTGTGCACACACTTGCAGTAGTTCAGTGAGAGCTCGCACAAGTATACATAGCAGTGTAGCTGCGGTAGCACAGTCAGCATCAGCGAAGCATGGCTGAGCTGTGCCAAGTACAAACCTGCCTGAAATTGGTGGGTAGGTACTAGGTACAGCTCAGTCATGTCACTGCTGCCACTGCCTGTGCTGCCATGGCTACACTGCTATTTATATTCACGATCGGTCTCATCGAGCTACTCCGAGCATATGTACCTGAGCAGGGGACACCACACTCCTAGCTCATGTAGTAGACATTACCTAAGACACAGGAGGTAATCGTCCTGATCTCTGCAGCACGGTGAGGCCTCAGCTGGAGTACTGTGTCCAGCTGTGGGCGCCGCACTTTAAGAAAGATGTGGACAAATTGGAGAGAGTCCAGAGGAGAGCAACACAAATGACTAAAGGTTTAGCAAACCTGCTCTATGAGGAAAGGTTTAATGAAAACTGTGCATGTTTAGGCTACGTTTACACTTAAACCATTGCAGCTGCACCGCTATAGCACTTCAGTGTAGCCACTCAGGACAGCAATGGGAAGATGGTGATCAACTGTTCTCCATGTCCACTGAAGGTCAAACAAGAAGCAATGGGCTTAATCTATAGCAAATAAGATTTAGGTTAGCTGTTAGGAAAAACTTTCTAACTATAAGGGTGATTAAGTACTGGAATAGGCTTCCCAGGGAGGTTGTGGAATCCCCGTCATTGGAGGTTTTTACGAACAAGTTATTAGACAAACAACTGTCAGGGAAGGTCTAGGTTTACTTGGTCCTGCCTCAGCGCAGGGTGCAGGACTAGATGAGTTCTCAAGGTCCCTTCCAGCCCTGCACTTCTATGATTCTATTATTCTAGATCTCACATCATTTCACAGGTTAAACAGCCTTTGTTTAATACAGATTTTAGGTCTTGAAAGGACCATCAGAGGATCTAGTCTGCCTCCCTCTACATGACAGGCCATAGAATTTTTCCAGTTAACATTGTACTGAGCCCAATAACTTGCATTTGGCTAAAGCATCTTTTCCAGAAAGGCATCCAGTTTGGATCTGAAGACATAAAGAGATGGAACATCCAGCACTTCCCTTGATTGTTTGTACCAGTGGTTAATCACTCACACTGTTGAAAATCTGTGCCTTATTTCCAATTTGAATTTGTCTGGCTTCAGCTTCCAGGCACTGGTTCTGCCTTTCTACACTAGATTAAAGAGTCCTTTAGCACCTGGTATTTTCTCCCCATAAAGGTACTTAGACACTGTAATCAAGTCACCTCTCAATCTTCATTTTAATAAGCTAATCAGACAGAGCTCTTTTGAGTCTCTCACTGTAAGTCATTTTTTCCAGCACTTGAATAATTTTTGTAGCTCTTTTCTGCACCCACTTGTTTTTCAACAACCTTCTTAAAGGGTGAACACCAGAACATAAAAATGGCCATACTGGGTCAGACCGAAGGTCCACCTAGCCCAGTGTCCTGTCTTCCAACAGTGGCCAGTGCCAGACACTTCAGAGGGAATGAACAGAACAGGGCAATTTATCGAGTGATCCACCCCATCGTCCAGTCCCAGCTTCTGGAAGTCAGAGATTTAGGGACACTTGGAGCATGGGGCTGTATCCATGACCATATTGGCTAATAGCCACTGATGGACCTGTCCTCCATGAACTTACCTAATTCTTTCTTGAACCCTGTTATATTTTTGCTCTTCACAACATTCCATGGCAATGAGTTCCACCAGCTGACTGTGCGTTCTGTGAAGAAGTACTTCCTTTTGTTTGTTTTAAATCTTCTATCTATTAATTTCATTGGGTGAACCCTAATTCTCAGGTTATGTGAAGGGGTAAATAACACTTCCCTATTCACTTTCTCCACACCAGTTATGATTTTATAGACCTTTATCATATTCCACCTTAGTTGTCTCATTTTGAAGCTGAACAATCCCAGTCTTTTTAATCTCTCCTCACATGGAAGCTGTTCCGTACTCCTAATAATTTTTGTTTCCCTTCTCCACATCTTTTTCAATTCCAATATATCTTTTTTAAGAGGGCAGGACCAGAACTACATGCAGTATTCAAGGTGTGAATTTATCATGGATTTATATAGTGGTATTATGATATTTTCTGTCTTATTATCTATCCCTTTCCTAATGGTTCCTAACATTCTGCTAGCTTTTTTCGCTGCTGCAGCACATGGAGCAGATGTTTTCAGATAACTATCCACGATGATCCCAGTATCAATCTCACCTGTGCCATATCTATGGATAAAATCCCTCCCTACTCCTACTCACTATTCCTCTGTTCATACATCCCAGAATCACAGTAGCCCTTTTTGCCACAGTTTTGCAATGGGAGCTCTTGTTCATTTGCTTGTCTGCTATGACCCCTAAATCCTTTTCAGTGTCATGACTTTCCAGGTTACAGTCCCCCATTCTGCAGATGTGGCCTGAATTCCTTTTTCCTAGAAGTGCAATTTAGGATTTGGCTGTTCTAAAATACATTTTTTAATGGGCCCAGTTTACCAAACAATCCTAATCACTTTGTTTGACTACCTTGTCCTTATCATTATTTGCTACTCTGCCCTCTTTGGGTCATCTGCAAATTGTATCAGCAGTGATTTTATAATTACCTCCAGATCCCTGATGAAAATACTGAATAGCAGCAGGCCTACTACTGATCCCCGCAGAACATCGCACCTCTATACGATGATGATTCTCCACTGAAAACTACATTTTGAGATACTGCTTAGCCAGATCTGAATCCATGTAATGTGTGCTCTGTTTATACTGTATTGGGCTAATTTTAAATCAGAATGTCATGCGGTACTAAGTCAAACACTTTATGTAAGTCTAAGTATATTACATCTACACAGTTACCTTTATCAACCAGACTTGTAATCTCAAAGAATGAAATCACATTTGTTTGACAAGATTTATTTTCCATAAAACCATGTTGACTGGCATTAACTACACTCCCTTTATCAATTGACTCCCATATCAGATTTCCCATTATTTTGCCCAGGATTAATGTCACGCTAACCGTCCTATAGTTACTTGGGTCATCCCACTTGCCCTTTTTGAATATTGGCACAACATTAGCACTCTTCCAGTCTTCTGGAATTTCCCCAGAATCCAAGATTTATTAAAAATTAACATCAGCGAGCCAGAGAGCTCTTCAGTCAACTTTTTTAGGTCTCTTGAATACAAGTTAGCCAGACCTGCTGATTTTAAAATATTTATCCCTAGTAAATATTGTTCAACATTAACTCCTTTGAGAAGTAAGGCTCAGTTTGATCCCCAATGGACAGAGCCCTTTAGATAGTAAACAAGAAGGCCTGTACTCTATCCCCAGAAAACAGAGACCCCTGCTAAAGTAATGGGTGGAACTGATCTAGGTTCAATCCCTGGCTAGTACAGGTATAGGATATAGGAATTGCCAGACTGGATCAGACTTATGGCTCATCTAATTCAGAATCCCACCTGTGACAGCAGCCAGCATCAGCTGCTTCAGAGGAAGGAAAAAATCAAGGGAAGCTCTCAGGATAATTTATGGTCCACTGCAGTGTGTTTTATGGTTCTACAGGGAGAGCCAGGAGGGGAAATTCTGTCAGCCCTGGAGGGTATACAACTTATGGAGTTTACATTTAGCTATTGGTAACCATCTTTTACAGAAGTTAGCTTACCTGACAGTAACTGTGTTTCTTCAAGATGTTCTGTCCATCCTAGTCATGGTGCACATGCCCTATGCACAGGAGTTTGGAATGTTCTCACCAGCAGCACCCATTGGGGTGGCAAATGCACCCTGCACACCCTTGCTCTTCCCCTCCCGAGGACACAAAAGATGGAGTGACCCCAACCAGCACTCAGTTCCTTCAGCATCCAGAATTCATATGTTAAATTCCGAGCTGCGGGAAAAGAGGGCGGCTCATGGGATCCGCATGTGCAGAGCATCTTAAAGAATCAGAGTTACTGTACAGTAAGTAACCATGTTTTCTTCGCATATCTGTATGCATGGATCCCGCTCATGGCAATTAGCCAGCAGCTGACTGCTACACAGGATGGAAGGTAGGAGTTCATTTGAACACTTGGTGGCACCACCCTACCACATGGGGCATCTGAGCTAGAAGCTGCCACCAGAGAATAATTTTGAGTGAATGTATAAGCGGAAGACCATGGCAGGCTGCTGAAGCAACCTGGCCTCTGGTAGAACGAGTTCTACTATGATGTAGAGGGCTCAGCTTATCAATGGCACAGGCTGTTCTAATACAGTCAGAAACCCATTTAGAGTCTTTGTGCTGAAACAGCCTTCGCTTTGGATCTAATAACAAATTATATAAACAGCCTAGGTGATTTACAC